GGGGTGGAACCGACTCGACAGCACTTAACGACAACAACAATGGGATGGCGGAGTCCTAGTATGGCACTGTGGGTTAACGCACTGTACTGCAAAGTCTGTTTAAACTATAAGGTTGGTGGTTTAAAATCACCAGCACTCCTTGTAAACCCTATACAGGGTCACTGTGGGTCAGAACCGACTCAACACTTAATAACAGCAACAATGTGATGGCTGGAACTATGGCTGCCTTGGCAGGGCCACACCAAATGATTTCATGGGCCAACCCGCAAGGTCTGGTGGTTCAAACTCACCAGTCGCTCCCGGAAACCCTATATAGGGTCGCTATGGGTCGGAAATGACTTAACGGCACTTAACAACAACATACGGTCCATGGGCCAGATGTTCCCACCACTGTACCAAAGGAACAGTCAGAAAAACAAAAAGTTACCAATGTAGGAGAACTAGTAAGACTAAGCTCTGATTTCTCAGTAGAAACCATGTAGGCAAGAAGACAATAGCATGGCATACAGCAGATAACAACCTGAGACTAACACACTTGAAAATATCACCTAGGTTCCACCACATATAGATGTATTCAATGTAAAACATACCTACAAGTCTAAAAACAGGAACCAAAAATATATTTGTAACACACAAAAAAATTCCATAAAGTACATAGGGAATGACATAGTTACAGAACTTCCAAATGAAGTGGAATTCAAATGCTTCAGGAAAAAAATATTAAAAATAAACCTAACTGTAACCCTAAAATTTAGACAAACTTTACACTCCTAGCCCAACCCATATGCCTAACCTTAGTCCTAACCATAACCCTAAGACTAAATGAAGTCCCAGTCCTAGTCTAGACCTGGCCATAGTCTTAACCCTAACCCTTACACCTTACTCCTACCCACCCCCGCCCCCCAGAAAAAGAATATTTATAGGTCAAAAACTGGGGAACATGCATAGTTTTGGTGCAGGCAGGTAAGAAGTGAGAAGGCATGCTTGGAGAAGTAGAAGGTAATATAAAGAAATGGTTTGGTTTAAAAACTTGGATGCTAGAGTTAGATATTTGGTTTAAATCCCAGTTGTTACACTTACAAAGCTGTATGACTTTGAGAAAATGATTTAACTCTTTTGTGCCTGTTTCATTCTATAAAAATATGATAGTAGCACCTGTCTGATGACAAATCTGGACGACGCTAGAGGCTCTCAGTTTTCAAACCTCCCAATCTTTTATTGACAGACATCTGAATGAGTAACTTTGAGTAAACTCAACAGAGGAACAGGGCTCCTGAGGTTCCCCATTTCTAACAAGGCCACTTCCCTGAGGTCTCTTCCATTTGTGCACATATGTATAGACACTCCCTGACTCAGCCCATCATAAACATGTATTGTACAATGGAGGCAGGGTTTCTCTCTACTGGAACTATAACCATGATACATGACTATATTTACCAGACCTGAGCTGAAATGAGGGGACGTGTGCACTCTATTACTACTCTTCTTATGTTTTTCCTCAATAAATTATTTTTTATTTTTATAGTGTCATACTATAATGCTGTGTGTACTTGACCTCATCAAAATATACTTCCTATAGGGTTGTTGTGAGAATTAAAGGAATTAATATTTGTACAGTGTTTATAATGGTACCTGGCACACAGAAAGCATTACATAAAGGTTAGCAAAACTTTTACAAAGGAGAATCATGAAAAACCAATGGTATAGACTAAAATAAAGATATATCAAGGAAGAGTGTCAAATGTTGTATAAACTTAAACAAAATGTAAGAATGAAAATAGTACACTGGGTTGATAATTATGAATTTAAATAAGGGTGGAAAGGCACCCCAGTGGTTAAGAGCTCAGCTGATAATCAAAAAGTCAACAGTTTGAGCCCAACAAGTGCTCCGTGGGAAAAGATGTGGCAGTCTGATTCCACAAAGATCTGCAGCCGTAGAAACCCTGTACAACAGTTCTACTCCGACCTGTAGAGTCACTATGAATTGCAACCAACTCAGTGGCAATGGGAATGGTTTGGTTTTTCTTTTAGCAATCGTGGAAATCAGATTGCATTAAAGACTGAGTGGGAAGTGAAAAGTAAAACAGTGAGTAAAAGCCGGTTTTTCTAAGAAATTTGATGATACGAAGTATATCAGTTAGGGCTTTTTTGTTTACAAGAGACAAAAATCCAGTTTGAACTAGTTTTTAAAAAGGGCTTACTTATTAAAAGAGCTCTGGTAGCGTAGTGGTTATGAATCAGGCTGCGAACCTCAAGGTCCACAGTTTGAAACTACCAGCTGTTCTGCAGGAGAAAGATGAGGCTTTCTGCTCTTGTAAAGATTTACAGCTTCGGAAACCCTGTACAGAGTCACTGTAAGTCGGAACTGACTCCACGGCACATAACCACCATCACCATAGGAATATTGTGGTGTCTCAGAATCTAAGGTCAGTAGCGTCTGGGTCTCAGTAACATGTGGACCCAAGGATCATCAAAATTCCCTTTTGGTTTCTTCTGGTTTTGCTTCATTTATTTCTCTCCTTTTGCAGAGCACTTGCACGGCTTCTTTGATCCACAGGGTAGGAAACATCTGGAGTCTTGGATTTTACATTCCAGGTACTCGAAGAGAGAGTGGAGACTTTTTTTCCAGTTCTAAAATTCCTAAGAAAGGATTCTGACTGCTTGAATTAAGTGTCTAACTCTGGATGAATCAATTATAGAAGTTAAGGGATTACATTGTAACATGGCTACTCCTACAGAGATTATGTGAATCCAGCAAGATATGAAAAAGACCAAACAAAATAATAAGTATGCAATACAGGGAGACAGAGCATTTTTTTGATGGGTATGTGGTATATGTGCTTTTAGTTGTCTTCTCTAGAGTTTTTTCTTTTTTAGACTAGAGAAAGAATTTAAACATGTTTATATGAATGAGAAGAGTCAAAAGTATGGAGCTGAAGATATAGGAAAGCACTGGGATAGTTAATAGAACAAAATTCTAGGGTACAATGACAAAACTGGGATTCAGTATACAAGTGAGAGAATCAGACTTTGAGAGAAAGAACTCTGAGACAAGAGGGAACAAATGTATAAATTACCATTGCCACAGATATGTCTATGAAAAAGAAGGAAATTGTTTCTGATAATCTCCTAAGAAGTATGTATCTTGAGAGCATGGGATATGGAAATAAGGGGGGGGAGGGGTTGAAAAAAATCATTAATGAGTAGTATACAGGAGTCCCTGGACTATCAATGAGATCTGTTCCTAAATATGTCTTGACAATTTTGTAGGTTAAGTCAAACCAGGTGCATAAAGTTCTTATTCACCCTTGCTATGAGCTGGAATCGACTAGATGGCAATGGCTTTAGTTTTTGGTTTTAGCGCAAGAAAAAGCCCAATGCCTTTTGAATGGTTTAAAAGCTGCATGTGCAGCAAATGAAGTTGATTGTGATGACGAATTTGTTGTGAGTAGGGGTTATTCAGTCATTGCAACTCTTTTATTCAGTCATTTCAAGGGCAAGTAGGAGATGTCCACAAATTGAATGTTCATAACCCAGAGACTGTCTGTAACTGAAATGAGGAAAAGAGAGGAAGTTGAAAGGAACAGAAGAAAATTTCTCAAAAATCCAACTCAGATTGGGAACTACAAATTTATACAGATGCTAGACATACACTGTGACTCTACTCAGTAATACTAGTTACTCATGCCTAACAAGAACTGACAAGGCACACGATAGAAAGACGAGGCACCAGAAACAGAGCACCCTAGGACCATCAAGGGAGAAGAGCACAAGTGGAATGCAAGACCTTACCCAGAGGAACAGCGACACCAGAGATGGAGACAGAAATGGGGACATGGAGCGAGGGAGCAGCTGAGGGCTTGAGAATCATGGGAAAGAGGGACTGAGAGCTGGCGACCAGGAGGCAGACTTGCAGAATGTGCCCTTTGTAATTATTATATATGCCTAAGTGGTTTTAAAAAAAGAAAAAAAGAGCTAAAGTGAATAGAGAGAAATACTGTTAACTGATGATCCATGGAGGGGATTATAATCATTGTAATGAAACAAGGTGTATGATTTATTGAATGTAAAACTGATGATCTGCCCTGTAAACTTTCACTCAATCCACAATAAAAACCTTAAAAATAAAGAAAGATGAGGCAGATGAATAAAGGGTACTGACCAAGGAGCCTGACTCAGTACCTTAATTCTTATGGCCAAGCAACAAGGAAACAGCAGTCAAAAATATACTTTATTCTACTCCTGATAAATAATCACAAATTGTGAATTTAGTGTTGTTCAAAGTGGCACTGCCAACAAATTAATGTCATTAATGTTCAACTATCAGAAAAGATTAACCTCATATTATTTTATAAATACATATCTATTATTTTATAGGTATTTATACTCATTTATTTAATGTATTATTTGTTCTAAAGAAATCAAATCCAAAATCTGGAGAGATTTTAAAAGTTGAAGCTTTAAATATGTCATTCTAATTTTGCTGCATTATTTTTCTTCTACCACAGAGCTAACCATACATAAATGAAGTAACTACCCCAAAGTCGCTTTCTTGATACTTATAACAAATCAATTTCTTCAGAATTTATATCATTGTGTTAAGAGATTTTATCTGTAAACAGGAATAAAACGGTATCTACTTCCTAGCACTGCTATGAAGATTAAATGAGTTAACATAGATGGAAGTACTTAGAATAATGCCTGACAAATGGCAAGCATTCAACAAAAGCCAGCCACTATTAATACAATTATGAACCTGTGACAGAATGACTTCTAAAGTCATTTATCACCAATTCTTTAAATTACGTATTACTACAAAAAGAAGCAAGTAATATGGTAATCTCACTAAAAATGTAAGTGACTCAAAGTATTTATGTCTTTCAACAATGATCTTTAGACAAGACATAAAACAGCAAATCCAAATTTAAAAAATGACTAAAATGAGTGAACTGATTTTCACTAAAAATATAATTAAGGTTCAAAATAAATGACTTTCTTTAAAAATATTGAAATATAAAATTTATTCAAATGCAACAAAATAACAGCCTCTATAAAGTATGAGCTACAGTAGTAAACTCAGCACAGTACCACAAACTCCATTGTTCATCACATAAACATCTTCTTTTAATTATAATTTTTCTCCCTGTAAAAATATAAGATAATAAATTAATATTTTAAGTAAGCTTATAATGATTTAACATTCAAAATCTACTATAATTATCAAGAGTATGACGTAAAGTCAGAATAAGGAATATTTTTGAAGACTATGAGTCAGAACCAAATATATAAAAAGCGAGTAATACTGATTTGGTGGGAGGTAATGAAAAGTTAAACTTTCTCTAAAACAAGAATCAGGGGCATAATAAAATCAAGGTATTTAGAATGCTGTTGTTAAGTGCTGTCATGTCAATACTGACTCATGGCAACCCAGTATATGGTATCTAAGGAGTGACTGGTGGCTTTGAACCACCAATCTTGTGGTACAGTCCAGTGCCAATCCTATAGCACCATATCAGGACTCCAGGTATTTAGAATAGTCCAGTTATTATAGTTTTATTAAGGATGCAGTGAAAAATAATTCATAAAAAAAGTCAATGAAAAGAGAAAGAAAGCAGGAAAGGAAAAAGACAAGAGAGAAATATTTGTACACAAAAGCAGTATGATATAGAGAAAACGAAAAGTAGAGGGAAAAGGCCCAGGAGAGTCTAACTATAGGTCAAATCTTCTTGTTATACCTTGGTATAAAAATGTTGTGATGCCTAGAGGTATTTACCTATAATCTTGCTTCATATTTTTTCTGTCTTTGTTTTCCACATACCTGACTTTGTCATGTCTTATTTTTCATCTTAATACACAGTATACAGTCCTAATACTTTGTAAACTACCTGCATTCTTTTTTTGGGAAATAAGATGAACATGAATAATTCTTATAACTTCCTAGTAAATTTACAGCACTTGTACTACTCTAATCCAAAACAAATTCAAGTCTGAAGATCAGAATGGTTTAGAACTTTGGTTTTTGAGCCATTATTGTGAAGAGTCACCAGTACGTTAGCCATTAAGAATATCAGTATTTGAACTGCAACCTAAGAATGGGAGCTAACAGTTGTGAAGCCGATCCCACATATCACTTCCTGCAGTCTCAGTGGTTTTTAAGACTATACTCTTTGGAACAGGGCTGGAGAAGGCTAACTGATGCCCTGAGCACAAGCCAACAATGGTTACTTCCCAGGTCCTTCCTCCACTTAGAACAGAGTTTCAAGTTTCTTGACACAAATCAGCTGATGAGTTAAATGAGCTCCAGACCCAACCACCTAGCTTTACACTCAAAAGAAGTGAAACTCTCAAATTATGAGACAGAAATAAATGTAGTATCTGATGACACCTTCAAATCAAACTTTGAAACTTCAGTCACTCACCAAGGTTAAGAAAGCAGTTTTTTAAAACAGTGCAGATTAATATAAATATAGCAATAAAGACAATTACAAAAATTTTGCTAAAGTTCAATGTAGCCTTAGGCATGATGTCTAAGGCACAAAAACTGTGAAGTTCTGCTTCCCTTGCTGTTCTAAGCTTGTGCATACTCTGTTTGGGATCCTCGGCATATGAAGCCATGTAAAGGAATGAACAAATAACTGGGTAAATTTCAGACACACCCCAGCTCCTATCAGATAAATTCTCTGTATCTGTTTGAAACATTAGGTTTCTTGTAACATTTAATAGTTTCCTTGGCTTAAAAGAGTTAAAAAAATTTGCATTTGAGACTAAGGAGAATCTTCTTAAAATACAGATTATAATTCAGTATATCTGGCATGCAAAGGCAAGTTTTTCAGAAGGGGACAGAACCAGAATGAACCAGTTCAAAGTCCTGACCATGAATAACAAATTGAAAAGGAGCAGTATAGCATTGTCAAAAAGATCTATTCTGAAGAACAGCACTATAAGTGATAGAATAATATCCATAAACCTTCAAGGAAAACCAGTTAATATGACTATTATTCAAATTTACGTATCAACCACAATAGTTAAAGATGAAGAAATTGAAGACTTTTACCACCTTCAGAAATTTGAAGTTGATCAAACACATAATCAAGATGCATTGGTAATCACTGGTGTTTGGAATGTGAAGGCTGCATATAAAGGATCAGCAGATGGAAAATATGACTATGGTGATAGAAATGACTCCAGGGATTGCATGATAGAATTTGCAAGACCAACAACTTTTTCATTGCAAATACATTTTTCATAAACATAATCGGCAACTATCTACATGGACCTCACCAAATGAAGTACTCAGGAATCAAATCGACTGCATCTGTGAAAAGAGACAATGGAGCACCTCAGTATCAACATCAAAACAAGACCAGAGGCCAATTATAGAAGAGACCATCAACTGCTGTTATGCAACTTGAACTTTAGGTTGGAAAAAAATTAAGTCCACCCCACAAGAGCCAAAGATCAAAAAGACTTTGAGTATATCCCACTTTAATTTAGAAATATCAAGACCAGATTTGATGCACTGAACAGTAACGACCAGAGACTTAGATAAGTTGTGGGATGACATCAAAGACATCATACATGAAGAAACCAAAAGGTCATTTAAAAGACAGGAAAGAAAGAAAAGACAAACATGGATGTCTGAATAGACTCAGAAAATTGTTTTGAACATCTGCTTAGTTCTCTAATGCGCTATAACAAAAATGTCTCAAGTGAGTGGCTTTAACAAATAGAAATGTATTCTCTCACAGTTTAGGAAGCTAGAGGTATGACTTCAGGGCACCAACTCTGGAGAAAGGTACTGGTCTCCTCTCAGCATCTGCTGACCCAGCATTCCTTGGCAATTTCCATATCTTGGCATCAATCTTTTCCTGAATCTAGGAGCTTCACAGTACAGGGACCCCAGGTCCACAGGACAAACTTCACTTCCAGCTCACTTCTTTTTCCTTTTATCTCTTGCAAGATAAAAAATGTTGTCGACCACATCTGAGAGGAAATTTCCTTTCAACTGATTGGCTGCTAACATCAGATTTCATCATAGAAGTGATTATATTTGATCACATCATGGGGGATTACTCCATCTTAACTGCTAAATCACTGAGAATCTTGGCCTAGTCAATTTGACACAAAACCTTAACAATCATAAATAAACAGTAGCTAAATAGCTAAAGTGAACAGCTGGAGTCCTGGTGTGGCGCTGTGGGTTAATGCGCCAGGTTGCAAAGCCATTTGAAATGCAAAGTTGGCAGTTCGAGCTCATCAGCTGCTCCTTGGAAACTCTATACAGGGTTGCTATGGGCCGGAACCGACTCGGTGACACTTTACAACAACAACATCAAAGTGAACAGAGTCCTAGTGTGGCGCTGTGGGATAAAACAATGGACCACAAGATCACTTTGACCCACCAGGTCGGCAGTTCAAACTCACCAGCCGCTTCTCAGAAACCCTCTAATACATGAATAGGAACTGAACAACAGCACTTAAGAACAACAACAAAGTGAATGAAAGAAATGATGAAATAAAGAGCTGAACAGGTTTCAAAGGGCAGCTAGAGATGACAAAGTAAAATATTATAATAAGATTTACAAAGATATGGAGTTAGAATACCAAAAGGGAAGAACATGCTCACTATTTCTCAAGTTCAAAGAACTGAAAAAAAATTCAAGCCTTGATTTGAAATATTTAAGAATACTATTGGTAAAATGGAGTCCTGGTGTGGCTCTGTGGGCTAATGTGTCAGACTGCAAAGTCGTTTGAACTGCAAGGTCAGTGGTTCAAGCTCACTAGCTGCTCCCTGGAAATCTTATATGGGGTCGTTATGGGTCAGAATCTACGGTACTTAACAACAACAACAACGGTTAACATTTTGAATGAAATGGGAAGCATCAAAAGAAGATGGAAATTGGTTTTAGCAATACCCAGCCAACTTTCTGGACCAAGCAAGATGCAGCATTCAGGAACAGAGCACTTTGCTCCACCCTCAGAATGAATGGAGACCAGAAATCAGATACTTATGCCCGAGAAATGCAGGATTTCATCCAGCACTTCTCCCAGATTCTCAAGGTGCTGACTGAGGATGAGAGGAGGTATCTGAAAACAGGAGACGCTATTGCTGGGCTCAGGAAGGTCCTACAGTACAATGTCCTTGGGGTAAGTACAACCAAGGTTTGACAGTGCTGGCTGTGTTCCAGGAGCAGGTGGACCCAAGGAAGCAGGATGCTGATAGTCTTCAGCAGGCCCTGACCATGGGCTGGTGTGTGGAGCTGCTCCAAGCTTTTATCCTGGTATTAGATGACATAATGGATGCATCCCTTACCCGACTGGGGCAGCCCTGCTGGTATCAGAAGCCAGGCATAGGTTTGGATGCCATCAATAATACGTTACTGCTGGAAGTACGTATCTACCACCTGCTGAAGCTGTACTGTCGGGAGTAGCCCTGTTATCTGAATCTGATCGAGCTCTTCTTGCAGAGTTCCTATCAGACTGAAATTGGACAGACCCTGGACCTCATCACTGCTTCCCAGGGCAACATGGATCTTGGCTGATTCACTGAAGATAGGTATAAATCTAATTGTCAAGTACAAGACAGCCTCCTACTCTTTTTACCTTCCCGTGGGCACTGATGGGCATTGATGTGGAGAAGGAGCATGCCTATGCCAAGAAGATCCTGCTGCAGATAGGCGAGTTCTTTCAGATTCAGGATGATTACATTGACCTCTTTGGTGACCCCAGTGTAACGGGCAAGGTTGGCACTGACATCCAGGACAATAAAAGCAGCTGGCTAGTGGTTCAGTGTCTGCAACGGGCCTCTCCAGAACAGCGCCAGATCTTGCAAAAGAATTACAGGCAGAAGGAAACCAAGAAGGTGGCCTGAGTGAAGGCTACATACGAGGAGATGGAGCTGCCTGCTGTGTTCAAGCAGTATGAGGAAGACAGTTTCAGCACCCTTATAAGTCTCATCGAGCAGTACGCTGCTCCCCTGCCCCTGACCATCTACTTGGGGCTAGCACACAATCTACATGTGGAAAAAGTGACCTAGAGACTGGGAGGTATTAGGAGGGGAGGTTCTCAATAAATTATTGTATAACTTAAAAAAAAAAATTTTTTAAGATGGAAATTAGCCATTAGAGAGATGCAAATCAAAAC